CAAGACCATGGTCTTGGATTTAGATTCACTGATCCTCATCCCGGCCGCTTCACACTTGGCTGTGAACTGCTTCAGTGAGAGCTAGAGATCACGATCTGATGAAGCCAATAAGACCACATCATCCGCAAAAAGCAAAGATGCAATCCTAAGGTCACCAAAAAAGATCCCCTCAACACCTTGGCTGCGCCTAGATTCTGTCCATAAATTTATGAACAGAATCTGTGACAAAGGGCAACCTTGGCAGAGTCCAACTCTCACCGGAAACGAGTCCGACTTACTACCGGCAATGCGGACCAAGCTCTGGCACCGGTCATAGAGGGACCTAACAGCCCGTATCAATGGGCCTGGTACCCCATACTCGCGGAGTACCCCCCACAGGTGTCCCCTTGGGACACGGTCGGACGCCTTCTCCAAGTCCACAAAACACATGTAGAATGGTTGGACGAACTCCCATGCACCCTCCAAGACCCTGCTAAGGTTGTAGAGCTGGTCCTCTGTTCCACAACCGGGATGAAAACCACACTGCTCTTCCTGAATCCYAGATTCGACTATCCAATGGACCCTCCTCTCCAGAACCCCTGAATAGACCTTACCAGGGAGGCTCAGAAGTGTGACCCCTATAGTTGGAATACACTCTGCGGTCCCCCTTTTTAAATAGGGGGACCACAACCTTAGTCTGCCAATCCAGGGGAACTGCCCCTGATGTCCACGCAATATTGTAGAGTCGCATCAACCAGTGCAACCCCATATCATCCAAAGCCTTAAGGAACTCCATGCGAATCTCATCTACCCCCAGTGCCCTGCCACCGAGGCGCCTTTTAACCACCTCGGTGACCTCAGCACCAGAGATTCGAGAGTCCAATCCAGGGTCTTCAGGCTCTGCTTCCTCATGGGAAGACGTGTCGGTAGGATTGAGAAGGTCCTCGAAGTATTCCGCCCACCGACCCACAACGTCCCGAGTTGGGGTCAGCAGCGCACCATCCCCACCATAAATAGTGTTGGTGGCGAACCGCTTTCCCCCCCTGAGACACCGGATGGTGGACCAGAATCGCCTTGAAGCCATATGGAAGTCTTTTTCCATGGCCTCTCTGAACTCCTCCCATGCCTGTGTTTTTGCCACAGCGACCACCCGAGCCACAATCCGCTTGGACTGCCGATACCTCTCGGCRGRTTCTGGAGTCCCAGAGGCCAAAAAGACACAATAGGACCCCTTCTTCAGCCTGAAAGCATCCCTCACRGCCGGTGTCCACCTGCGGGTTCGAGGGTTGCCGCCTCTGACAGGCACTGACAAACTTACGGCCGCAGCTCAGGTAAGCCGCCTCYACAATGGAGGCACAGAACATGGCCCACTTGGACTSAATGTCCTCCGCCTCCTCCGGAACGTGTTTGAAGTTCCCCCGGAGATGTGAGTTGAAGCCCCACCTGATGGGAGACTCTGACAGACGTTCCCAGCAGACCCTCACTATACGTTTGGGTCTGCCAGGTCTGACCGGCATCCTCCCCCACCAACAGAGCCAACTCACGACCAGGTAGTGGTCAGCTGACAACTCTGTCCCTCTCTTCACCCGAGTGTCCAAAGCATGTGGCCACAGGTCAGATAAAACAACAACAAAGTCAATCATCGAGCTGRGGCCTAGGGTGTCCTGGTGCCAGGAGCACACATAGACACCCTTATGCTAGAACATGGTGTTCATTATGGACAATCCATGACAAGCACAGAAGTCCAATAACAAAACACAGCTCGGGTTCAGATAAGGGGCGCCGTTCCGCCCAACCACACCTCTCCAGGTCTCACTGTCATTACCCACGTGAGCATTGAAGTCCCCCAGTAGAACGAGGGAGTCCCCATTAGGAGCGCTCTCCAGCACCCCCTCCAAGAACTCCAGAAAGGGTGGGTAATCTGAACTGCTGTTAGGTGCATAGGTACAAACAACAGTCAGGACCCATGCCCCCCACCCGTAGGAGGAGGGAGGCTACCCTCTCGTTCACCGAGGTGAACCCCAACGTACAGGCACCGAGATGGGGGGCAATAAGTATGCCCACTCCTGCTCAGTGCCTCTCAGCGTAGGCAACTCCAGAGTGGAAGAGTGTCCAACCCCTCTCGAGGAGACTGGTTCCAGAGCCAGAGTGGTGCGTTGAGGTGAGTCCAACTATATTTAGTCGGAACCTCTCAACCTCACACACCAGCTCAGGCTCTTTTCCCACCAGAGAGGTGACATTCCAGGTCCCTAGAGCCAGCTTCTGTAGACGAGGATCGGACTGCCAAGGTCCCCGCTTTCGACCACTGCCCAAAAGACATTGCACCCAACCCTCAAACAGGTGGTGAGCCCATGGGAATGGGGACCCACGTCTCCTCTTCGGGCTGTGCCCGACCGGGCTCCAGGGGTGAAAGCCCGGCCACCAGGTGCTCGCCAACGTGCCCCACATCCAAGCCTGGCTCCAGAGTGTAGAAGAGGTTACTTGTAAGAACAGCTAAGATCCTGAACAGAACCCTGAAACTCCCAGGCCTCTGGTGGAGGA